GACGCGCTAAAGCGCTTTTCTCTTGCAGCAACTGGCCCAGGAACTCCCCGGCACCAGACCCTCGCTGGCTGCGTATGATGCTAATGGGGATGCAGTGTCTGAGCTCAGAGGGTTTCAAAGAAAGGTCCGGGGGGCACTGGTGCTGGATCCAGGATCTCTTTAAATTTCCAAGCGATTGTCCCTTGGAGTACACATTTATACCGCGGTCACAGCTCGATATTTTTCCCGATGAAAATCTGAATGTCATCAAACACAATGTGTCTTGTTCCAGTGAGGACTTTTCGTCAACGTGTACAACAAGGAAGACTCTTTGTGGTCTTCCTCCATGCTGATGTGACCCAACTAAAAGGACAATGAAAAAAAAGACCCTTAGAAATTTTTGCATCAATCATTTTAAGGAGCCCGTCATTTTAAAGGAAATTGAGAGTTTCTCTGTTCACTCTGCCCATTTTGAGCTTTGCTGGCAGATTACCAGGGTCAAAACCGCCCACTGAGAGAGGTTGCTTATCACCCACTGAGAGAAATCTGGGGCTCACTGACTCCAGCTCACCTTCCCAAACCCTCCCCACTGTGCCCCGTGGGAATCGCGGCCTGCCCACAGCACTCGGCGCTAGCGCTGATCTCGTCTTTGCTTGGCTGTTGTCTTAGTCTTGAACACTCACTCCTCTTCTCTCTCCAAACCCTAACCAGACACCAATACCCACTTCAGATCCCAGTTTATCCTGGAGCTTCTCTTAATCGCAGTTGTTCACAGACAGATTTCTTCCCTCTTATAAGAGTTATAACTGGTACCATCTGACTTCTTTATTTTATTTTTTAAAATTCTAGTATAGTTGATTTACAATGTGCTAGTTTCTGGTGCACAGCACATTGATTCAGTTATACATATATATGTTCTTTTTCATGTTATCGTGATAGGTTTTTGCAAGATACTGAATGTGGTTCCCTGTGCTAAACAGTAGGACCTTGTTGTTTATCTGTTTTATGTATAGTAGTGTGTATCTGCAAATCCTAGACTCCTAATTTATCCCTCTCCCATCCATTATCCCCAGTAACCATAAGTTTGTTTTCTAGTCTGTGGGTTTGTTTCTGTTTTGTAAGTTCATTTGTGCCATTCTTTTAGATTTCACATGTAAGTGATATCATACGACATTTGTCTCTCTGTCTGACTTACTTCACTTAGTATGATGGTCCATGGTCCATCCATGTTGCTGCAAATGGCATTATTTCATTTTTTTTATGGCTGAGTATTCCATTGTGTGTGTGTGTGTGTGTGTGTGTGTGTGTGTGTGTGTGTGTGTGTATATCACATCTTCTTTATCCAGTCATCTGTCAATGGACATTTATCCAGTCATCTGTCTGGCTATCGTAAATAGTGCTGCTATGAACGTTGGGGTGCATGTATCTTTTTGAATTAAGAGTTCCCTCCAGATATATGCCCAGGCAGGAGTGGGATTGCTGGATCATATGGTAACTCTATTTTTGGTTTTTTAAGGAATCTCTATATTGTTTTCCATAGTGGCTGCACCAAATTATATTCCCACCAACAGTGTGTACCATCTAACTTCTTTTGTCTCTTTTATTATGATAAAATCCTTCATTTCTCATCTTCTGAATCACATGGGAAAGTCTTCATGGGTGGGAATTTTCTAACCTATTTATATATTCTTTTGTCTAGACACAGGATGCAGCAGATAGAAAATATTTAGAAATAGCTCGGTGAACAAATGAATAGATGTTAATTTACTGGGAGGGATGGGAAGTGTTCCTGAGACTTCTCGCCTGGGGCAATAAAAAAGAAACAGCAGCTTTGCCACCTGGAAGGGTAGGAATCTGCCCGGAATGCCCTGGAAGAATGTGCCCAAGAGACTGACTGCAGGGACCAGAAGCATCTATGTGCTGGAAAGATTGACTGTGTAAAGCTGTTATACACACAGAAAACGGACTTAGAGAGAAATCAATCCGTGTATGTGTATGCTGTGCTAAGCATTTGAAATAAATCAGGGCGGTCTCAAAAAATATAAGACAAACCAACTTAGTCGGACTTAGAATCCTCAGAGCAACAGATGAACACTGTAAACACAGCATGCTTTACTTATAAAACTCTTGGCTTCTCTAATTGTCTTATTTATCCAAGAAATGTTTCCTGAGCACCAATCATATGAAAGACAGTGTGACAACGCCCCAGAGAAAAATCGAGCACTATCCTTTCCGCTAGAGCCTTCCCATCTAAATGAGATATTTGCCAAGGTCATTAAATCCAGGTCACAAATTCTGAGCTGTGACGTTAAGTGAAGTAGAATTTAGTGGAAGAAATAACTGTTAACTGAGCTGGTGGGTAAGAATGTGGGAGCAATGTGAGCCGCCTGATTAGAAAGATTCTGGCCTTTCTCCTTCTGATCCTGGTGGCTGGCTTGTCCCCCACCTCAGGCTGTGTGCTTCCTCCAGGTCACCTATAGCCTCCCCAGCCCTCCAGTCTCCCACTCCAGGCACTTACCTTGGCTGCTCCTTTTCTAGCCCTTTCATTCTGTGGGGAACACTGGATGCTACCAATCTAGCCTTCAAGTCTCAACTGCCATGCCAGCTCCTCTGACCACCCGTGACTTGGTGAGGGACATTTTCCCTCTTCAGGTAATAACTGAGCATATGCCAGCCACACAAAGCATTTTCATCTTTATTTAACTCACTTAAAACAGAGCTGCATGGTAAATTCTATACAACATTCACTATACACACACACTTTCAGGCCAAGAGAGGTAATTCTGGATACGCTGATGACTCAGCCCTCGGGCCATGAATGATGCCGGGGATGCCCAGCACAGACTCCTGCATGGAAGGGGAGTATTTCCACCCCTGCTCGCCCCCTGCCTTAGCGCGCTGCATCGCGATCAGCCAAACCTCTCACCTGGACCGCGGCTCCTTGGGGCCGGGCTCGTAGGCAGGTGGACAGCTGTGCCCCAGGGCCTCGTACCTGGCGCGGATGCGAGCTGCGGGCGCGCGGGGCAGGAGGAGCGCCGAGCCACTGGGCGCGTGCGCGTGTGTGCGTACGGGTGTACGTGTCCGTGCGTGTGTGCACCTGCGTATGCGCGTGTGCGCATGTATACGCATGCGCACCTGGCATGTGCGTGCGTGTGCGCACGTGCAGGTGCGCGTGTGCGGTGGGACGGGGCGAGTTCAGCTTTGTGCCCTGGGAGTGCGCGACACAGCCGGCAGGGTCGCCGTGGCGGCCGTGGAAGGTGCGCCGGGACAGCGGTCCTCAGGCGAAGGCGACCACCCGGGCTGTAAAGGGCCTCGGGCCTCCGTCCTGCGGGGCAGAGC